ACTTCGGCCGTGATGCCTCCCCGCGCTCTGGGAACAGGTCCAGGTGCCGCCGCTGCCGGGCTCATCCATTAAGTCCAATATACTTTTAAAAGTAAAACAGATTAAAATAGGTTTAAACTGAAATTGCGTAAGTGTAAACAAACACCACGGACCACCAGAAACTGGAAATAGCGGTTTTTTGTATTTAAGAAGGGGAATACAGTTGTATAAAACGTGTGCATTTCTTAATTGCTGCTTTTGTTAATGATAACTCAAGTGAGATAATGACTCCGGTAATAACAGAATTATGGAAAGGTTACAACGTGTGTACAAAAACACCAACACCACTTATAGGGAACAACCACTAGTGAAATGAACACCGACGGCCAGATTCAGTCACGGCCTAAACGGGCGCAAGGCCACCGGCCTGCCCGAAGGCTCGGTTTGGCTCGGTATCTGTGCGAAGAACAGGCTTCCGAACGCAATGCTAACAACTCCGTGCTTCCACGTGTGCCTCGGAATTCTTCCTCCTAGCCACGTGCTGTTTGGGGCTACCATGGTGTCACGACGTCGCTCCACCACCCAGCATTCGTACGCAGCAGTGCCCGTTCCACCTGCAGCGTCAGCCTTGCTCAGCTGGTGTTGAAGGAGGAACTTGAAATAAAAGGGATGCAGGTAAAACACTTCCAGCCACCCGCGGCAGGTGCGTACCTTACGGAGTGCCCAGCACTGTGAGCAACTGTGACTGTCGTGTTAATAACAGCAATAATGACTCCAGTGCAAGGGCATTTATTTCCTGGTAAATACTGGGATTTTTTTGTATTTTTACTGCGTGCCCACAGGTGCCAATTTATCTAACACACTAGAAGCAAAAAATACCGGAGTGAGGACCTCACTATTATTAGCCATTTCACTCCTGCATTATGCAAAGCACCATCCTACTGCTGCTTAAGTGTTCTTGCTTTATCAGCCCGTTCTTAACCAGCAAACCACGTACTGAATTCTAACCATGCAGTCAAATCTTGCATGGGAATGTAGTGGGATTCAGGTTAGTGCCAGAGAGAGACGTGAGCTTGTGCTAAAACATGTCTGAGCTGGGAACACAGACAAATCAGATGTCTGAATACAGTACTGGACTGAGGCTCTGCCTCAAAAACAATTTGCTTCTGTGCCCCCAACTCAGTCACGCACAGCCATAATTCAACAGGCGTACACTCAGTTTTTGCCCAGATGGAAATGTCCTGCCCTTGATTTCCAAAAAATCTGCAGCAAAAACTGATGCAAACCACTGCTGGGGAAAGGTGGAGGCAGGGGGAGCAGACACAGAGTAAACAAATGCAAATCTTTGGTCCTTGCGTCCGTTTGCTACTGATATCCGTCCCCAAGAAATGATCCTGTTCACTCACGTCTCCCTCTCTCCAAAATAAGCAGTAAGGCAGGGCTGTAGCCCCCAACAAAGTAAGGGAGGGGCCAGCCCGGGAAGGCATTGAAAGGTTCCTCGAGCAGAGCGTTCTCCTACGATAATCCTCATCCCTCTTCCAGCAACAAACCTCCCCACCTTCGCAGCTTGTTTCAGTGCTGGCAGCTGGGCTGCTGCCAAGCTCCCCTTCTTTGGCAGGCAGGGCTGACCAACCTGCTCACGAAGGCCTGGCAAGGCAATCAATGTCTGTACAGTGCTCAAGAACATGCAAAGTGCAATCTAAGTGTCGAATGTTCTTATTTTAGAGATTAGTGAATTAATACTCCAAGAAATATATGCACTGAGGTAACTATTGCTTAAATAAAACATTCCCTCCCAATTAAAAAAAAACAAACACCAAAAAAAACACCTCAGAACTTTTCTCTCTAGAAAAGATGAATCCTGAATATAAAGTGGTAATACCTTATTTACCTTCTGTCAAGACTACCACAGCCGCAGAGTGCCCTTTCAGTAACAGCAAAATCAAGGAAGTGAACTGAAGTCCTCAAGAGAAACGAAGAACTCCGCATTCACGATTTCCTCCAACGCCATCTCAGTGAGATTTCCGGCACAGACCTGCTCCCACCCATTACACCTAGAGAAGCTGGTGTGTCGCAACGCAGAAGCAATGCACAGTCCAGTTTCAGATCTAGCATTCTGATGGCGGAACAGCCAGAAACACCCGCTAGCACGGGTAAATTGGACCATAATCTGCATGAGCTCTCTGAAAACTCAGGTTTTGTCCCTTAGGGAAGTCCATGCTCCATTATTTGGGAGTGTGTGACAGTAAGGCTATACGTAGTATACAATGCACCAGCTCCTATCAGAGCACTTCAGCTATCAGGTGTAAACTGGTGGTCAGAAAAGGATCAACGCAGCAACGAGTTAAACACTGCACATACTTTTCCTTCTTCATTCCTGTATTGGCTTTGGCCAATAATGGACCCAAGACTTGACAGACTAATGATCTGGTCGATGAAACCAAACCCCACATTCCTATGCACTGTGTGACAGATTTAAGACATGGCACAAAGAGAGTCTATAGCACCCTAAACAGTAAACCAATACTGCTGATGTAAGTACCAGAATTCTGCTGGCTTTCAAGTGTTGAAAAAACACTGAAAACATCCTGACAAGGTATCCTGGTTCTGTCGAAACACTAACAGCTGTAGTAGGTCCCGCTCAGTGGTTTAATTCCATTTTCTTCCTCCAGCGTTCCTGTCAAATACTCCCTTCGTCGATGCTCTGCAACTGAAGTCTTTGGCTAGCATGCGGCCTGATACCACGCCGCGTGTTCATACTGCTTCCTGGCAGAGTCCGCACAGGGAACAGAGCGCCTGGTAAAGCATCTTCCCCAAACAAGCTCATTTTCACGTCAGCTTCAATAGCTCTTGCTAAACTGGATGCATAACTGTCCAGAGATTTATGGACCTCAGCTTTTACATGAAGAACAGAATTCTTTGCAGCTTCTGTGGGGGGAAAAAAAAGGGCAACATATCAGAAAAATAACAGTTGATCAGCACAGCTGCACAAATGCTTGAAGACTAAAATTGATCCTTTTGTAAAGGTATGATCCCGCTCTGTGCAAAATAACTGCCTTACAGAGCACATTTACTGACGATACCCAGGATTCCTAAACCATTCTATGAACACAATGCTTCAGAGTGACCTTGACAGGTCAAGCAGAGAAAGATTACCTCCCATTCAAGTGAAAAAAATAAGATCTAATGAAGTAAAGTGGTTATACGCATGTTTAACTTTGAATTAAGCGCATCTTGAACGATATTCTGAACCTGAACCTAAGCACACAGCATTTTATTGGTATGAATCTGTACCCAGCTGAAGTCAACAGCCTGGTTTCTGGTTATTACCCAGAGTCCAGGATTAGGGACAATGGGAATTGTCTGGCATCAGGCAAGACTTCATGCAGAAAACAGGAACAGAACCCTCAATGTGTACTTACCCTGCTGTAAACACGACTTACAGCCTTACATGGATTCTCGGTGCATTTGGACTAAGACCTTGAACTTCACTGACATGAACAGTGTAGCTCAAGAGTTACTTTATAACATGTTTTAAGCCCAGCAAACACCAGACTTTGCGTTTACAGATTAACAGTTCCCAAATTCCAAGGACTTCTTCCAAGTAGTGACTAAAATCAGTAGTCTGCTGTCCTTATGCTTAAATTCTTTTCAGCCACAGCAGGACCCACTTCCACTTCCAGTGGGGAAGTCGTAGAGCTCTCCATGCCAGGAGAGGTTGAAGACTACAGTACACTTCTTCCTAACCTTTTATTACCTTGGATACACCTGCTCTTCACTGTTGATGTAGTTGCTTTTGTAGGATCTATATACCTGTCTACCCACCAACATGCTGGGCAACACAGGTATTCGTCCTAAATGTAATTCTCCAGTGAGGCTGCTGAAAGAATTTAAAGTCTCAGAGATGCTGAAAACCCTGAGATGTACCAGGGAGACTTGCTAAACCTGTGGGGAACGAATGCATTAAGACCTCCCTCTCTCACTGAACTGCACACAAAAATTAGATGCCTGCCCCTATGTAATCACTCAGAAAGATAATGGGAAATGTATGGTAATGTATTTGTCCAGGGAAATAATCAGCTCATGCTGGGAAGAGGGCAAGAGTGAATTTTGCCAAGATGTCTGAAGAGAAAACTCCACAGAGAGAGTCTTCTCATTATTTCAGAATCACAAAAATCAATCTCGTTTTATTATTACTTGATTCTTATAGTCATTCTGCTCATTTTTGTACTGTCCACAATCATTTATTATTTAGTAAATTCAGTTGTTATTACAAGGTCCTCTAGTCCATATTACCATAACTATTAGCTTAAACTGCCATATTTTACAGATGATCACAGCAATACCTTGCTAGCACAGAATCAACAAGTGAGTTCACTGAAAAAAAGGTGTACGTGATTCATCTATTTTCACTCATATCTGCTGAGAAACATAGTAAAGTAAGTGAAGTAAAAGTTAAAAAAAGTAAGTGAAACAGAATGAAATTATACTCAGACCATTAAAGTATGTAAATGGAAGAATTTCAAATGTGTGAATGACAAAGTTGAGAGGAGGCAGCAAATGATTAACAATGGGATAATGGAATCAAAGCAAGAGGGCAGGAAAATGTATTCCCTGAGAAACACAAAACAGACTGCAACAGCCCCCAGGTGACTGGAGTTTCAAAGAGGACACTACTGTACCACACAAATGATACGCATGCAGGGAATCCCAGCTTCTAACTCTTGTCCTTGTCTGCTGCTACCTGAGAACTGGAAGAAAGACCTGTTCTTACTTTCTGTTGCACTTGCATGAATGGTCAGATCTGTCAGGGCGAAGAGCGGCCAGATATGTTTTAAGGCAATTCTGAAGATCCTGTTACGCTTTCCTGAGCAGGCAATATAGTTGGTTCTGAGCATTTCCATACTTACCCCTAAACCCACCTTTAATTTGCTCTACTTCATCTTCAAACGTCACTGAACTCCTCCTTCGAGGAGGACAGATGCAGTGTGGGGCATGAGGGCCATCTGAGCTATTATCTTCAAGAAGCATCGCATCTGTTCCTGAAACAAAGCAAGAGTTCTCTAGAAAAACAGAGTAACACTGGGATACAATATTTAAATGGTGGCAAAAACTTCCCAGTCTGTAGCAGTTCCTTCAAAAGATGTCTAAACCCAGCTTTTGTGAGTAAATTTCAGCTTGTACTAAACACTACAGAGAAAAAGAATGAGGTTAGAGTTTCCATTGAAAGGACTGGGAAATCTTTTCTTGTTAGCCATCTAAAATCTCAAGCAGCTCTGAAATGCTCAGCTGCAGAGCTTATAATGTCAACAGGGCAGCAGACAAGGGTGAAACCTTACCTTCAGTAAAAGAAAGGCTAAAATTGAGAGCAAATTCCCCCATCTCCTGATGAAGACAAGAGGCTAACAATGGCTACCTGAGAGGCCAACGACCATAGCTGCCAAATGTCATGCTTGTAATCGGGCCTGGATGGAAATCTCAACTGGAAATTTTTTCTGTTCAATTTAGTTTGTCTCTAATAACCTATTTTGACTTTCTTGAAGTGTATATTAATGGGGGAAACAAAAAATCTTTTGCTGGTTGTGAATGATTTTTGTCTCACGAATCTTTTTTTTTCAGTTTAAGAGTCCCTTTTTTATTTCACCTCCCTGCATTTGCTTTGCACCTCTGCAATATAAAATAGAGTTTACCAGCATAAGGAAATTCATCTAGGCCATCCCTGCAATACTTTCACACAAAGGGCGAGGCTGCAGCCTAGTCCTCCCTTGCGATGCTAGTCTTTCTGCTGTGTAAGGGAGAAGCGGAGCAAGCATTTTGGGGAGACCTAGGACAGTGCTGAGTGAGCAGTCCTCAGGGAAGCTGCTGTTGGAAGACAGCCTGCACACACTTGATGCGTGACACTTTCAGTTCAGTTACTCCTGGGGTGTGAGCAAGCGGCTGTCCGGTGCTTAGTTGCCAAGCTGCACTGCAGGCCACAGAACCACATACTACAGTAGGCAGCACTGAAGAGAGAGGAAGACTTTAATTCCTGGTCTTTAGTTCCTAACAGTAAAGGCATTCGGCGAAACAGTATTTCACAAGAATGATCACTGTGTATCCATTCCCAGGGTACGGACTGTGCCGCCTTCATAACAAACAGTGGCACTTCTACCAGCATTAGGTATGTGTTTGGTTTGTTCATTTGTTTAAACTGCTCGGTACCATTCCTCAAAAGATAATAACACAACACCCTCTTAACTGAGGCAGGATGCTATTCTCTCTTATCACACACAGCTGCAGAATACCCACAACGGGCATAAAACTACCAGCGTAAAACAACTGCCAAAATCAATCCCAGCTCCATAGGCTTCCTCTACAAAAGTAAGAAACAAAATTCTAACACCAAGCAAATGTTAGAAAATCACCCTCTAGTGTCTCTAAAGCAGAAATACTCTTTAAAATAACTAGTGCAGTTAAGGAGTGGTAGCTGAATTAACTGCCAGAAAAATCTAGCTACAGTTCCGGATAGAAAATTACTGGCAGAAATATTTTCCCCTTTTGCAAGCAACCTTCAGTTGACAGATCTTAAGCAGTGACGAAATTATGAGCTGAAATGGTCCTAAGTGTTTATGTTTACACCGCAGGATGAACAAGACAAGGTCTCTTACAGACTAGAAAACAGAGCAGCACATTCTCCACAGCACTCTTGCTCTGTTCCTCCTGGATACAGGGAAAGTCCCTAAAGAACGAAAGAAACTAAAGAAGTGCACAAAAGCAGAAACTAAAGAAGCAGGGCACAAAAGCAGCAAGTCCTGTTCCCAGGACACATTAGCAAGGGAGGGTCATCATTCTTTAGAGTAAACAGTATTTTGCAAGTAAATATATTGAAAGCAAGAAAGGAAAAAAGCAACTGCAGCAGTTTTGTTTTAACAGCTGGAACAGATGTTTCATGTCATCCATCCACCAAGAGACATCTGTGCTTGTATATACAGACTATCCCAGAGAGTTCTGCCGAGTTACAAGAGCAATCTTCTGCCCAGGAGAAGAGAGCAAGAGACTTTCAGTTACCTGAATCCTGCGAGCAGCTGAAACCTGTGTCTCCTGTGCTGCTGCTGTTTCCTAATGGCCGCCCACCTGCCATGAGGGCAGTGAGGTGAGGAGATAGTCCCAAATCTGCAAGACAGTTTTGTTCTTGTTACACAATGACTGTTCAAGGGGTCTGCAATAGTAAAAACCTCTTCCAGTAATACACACCCTACTGCCTTATTTATTATTCTACATATAAAACTTGCCTTGCTGATCCAGAGTGCACAGCATCTGGACTTCCCATCTTAGAAATCCAATCAACAGCCTTCAGGTATCCTTGGAGTCTTTCCATATGGCAAGTCTTCTTTACACCAGCACAACCTCCCTCCCCCTCTTCTTGTAATTGCATGTTTTATCAGCCAGACAGGCTGAATACGGAGCATATTCAGAGAGGTGGCCAGACACCTTCTAGATAGAGAATAACCTGGTAACCTCCAGCAGCTGTGACAGGCAGCTCATGCGCAAGGCTGGAGCACTGCAATGCCTGCCTTCTTTCCAATCCCCAAAGTAAGAAGGGACAAGATTCTAGGGTTTTTACAAAGTTGCTGTCTTTGGATCCCACTTCAAGATTTTGTTGTGGGTTTGGCTGGGTTTCTCCCCACCCCCATCAGCCTCCAGCTAATACACCTGACAAATTTGAAGCTGTCAGTTTCTTATTGCTTGGAAACAGGAAGAAATTTCCTGTCTTTTCCCTCCCACCTCAGTTCCCAGCGTATTCATCTATAGCATCTCCTGGATACAGATTTGCCAAAGGGAGGAGTGTTACAGAGCTCCTGCAGCTTGTGGTGTGGCTGCAGCTGCAGAACTCCTTCATTTAGATAGGAGTCTCTTCCAGTGATCCCAGACTGCGGAAAAGATAACAGATGCCTTGCTGCTCTCCCTTTCCTTCTGCGTTTTAGATCTTCCTTCCCAATTAAATAATTTCAGTTCCCGCTTCTGCATGAGATGTCCTGTTTTTGGAATTCGGGTGTTACACAGGTACACTGGTATTAAGGAACAGTGTCTTTTGCAGCCACGCGTCTTACCTGTGATCCTATTGGAAATGCTGAATAACCTTGACGTCCTATGCCGCTGAACAAAGGACTCGCGATAATACCGATCCCCAAAGCACATTCCTAGCAGTTCCTTGCGCACTGTCTTGTTCCACAGCCCATAAATTAGCGGATGGCAAATGGCACTGGAAAAGGACAACCACGTAGCCAACGTCTCCAAGGCAGGTGAAATACTATTTTTTCCCCAAAGTGCCTCTGATGTAATTACTACCATGTAAGGCCCCCACGTAATCACAAAAGCACCGATGACAACCAAGATGGTTATGAGAGCTTTGCACTGGTTGGCTGAGTAGACAACCCCTTGGAAAGCGTTCCTTCGGCTGCCAGAAGAGGATGTGGAGGTGCTGGAGTTCTTCCTCCCGTTCCTCTGGGAGTCCTCCTCCACAATGATGACGCTACCACAGTGGATTTTCCGGGCCTTAATCCTTGCCACGCGGAATATGAATCCATAGCAGACCATCATGACTGCGAAAGGCAGCAACGCGCACCAGACCTGCCAAAAGGCAGAGAAGCCACACACATCCACTTGAACTGGTCAAACTCCAAAGACGACCAGCCGAAGAGGGGAGGGAGGCAGCCAATAAGGGAATGTAGCCACACATACACAAGAGCTACCACTGCTCTGTTGCCTGTTATCTTCATTGGGTAAACCATAGGGTACAGGACAGCATAGTACCTGGGGGACAAGAAGAGAAAGAGTCAACGGGAGCACAAAAGACGTACAACAAAAAAAGAACATATTTCAGTGATGTTAATATGTAGTCCTCTTTGTAGAACAAGCTCTTTTCACCAAACCTCAAAGTCGGCTCGGGGACCCTGTTTATAAAAACAACTACATGTAAAAATACATACTGTTGCAGTCAAGACTGTAAAACTCGGCTGAAGGCACACACGCAGCTATTAAATCTGTCCCTACGTGTCAGTGTGTGCTTAGGGTATAATCTGGAATTTTAAGTCATTGCTTGTTGTTTCTCAAGTAGTATGTTATTATACCATCGATAGCTTTAAAAAACTCCAGATGCATGTCTGCATTTTGCACTACTGGTGACATCACTTTCTTCTGTTACACATCAAAATTTCACAGGGGGCTGAAGGAAAAATGTCATTGCAATGGTACGCAGCATTATCCACTGCAGGGCTTCTCAACTCTATGAACAGCCAACGAGTCACTCTACAAAACTAGGCAATTCGTTACCATTCGTTAGAAAAGAGCTGCTTACCGGTCTATAGCTATGAGTCCAAGAGTAAGCATGCTGGCTGAGCTGATCAGCATGTAGAGCAGGGCTGAGAAATTGCACCAAACGACTCCGAAGATCCATTCCCGCCTGATAGAGCTGGTGACAACAAAAGGTAGCACCAGTACAGAGAGTAGAAAGTTGGAGAGGGTCAGGCTGAACACAAACTTGTTGCTCAATGTGAGAAGGTAAGACTTCCGATACAGGGTGACGACAATCACCAGGTTGCCCAAACAGATGAAAATAGCAATGACGATTATAGCAATGGACTCAGTGACTCTGACCGCCCCGTCTTCCTGCGTGGTGAGGTTCCTCAGGCTCTTCACATTGCTGAGGGAGGAGTTGCTGCTCATGGTCAGAGCGTGCAGAGCTGGGGCAGCCAAGACATGCTGAGCAGCTAGAAGCAGAACAACGCTCAGAAACATTCAGGCAAGATTTCTTCAAACTCTCTCCAAAGACTGGAGGCCCTTCTGCCTGCATTAATTAAAATTTACCTGTAGGATGCAGGGAACCATTTTAGACGGGAAAGCGAAGGGGCAGGAAATTCCCTATGGGTACACCAAAGAGGTCAACGACACAGCCAAGCCTAGAACAGGGAAGAAATTGTCTAAAAGACAAAAAGAGGTGGAGGTGGGGGAAACAAGGAAGAAAACTACCCCGCCATTTTAAAATTTTCTAAGGATCTTATTTGTTTCTAAACCATACTTACCAGCTGTGCATCTCAGTCCCTTCATCTAGGCTGTGAGGAAACAATAAGAATGCCACTAACAGTCTTTGTTTCTCTCACTTTAAAAAAACACACAAACAACTTTCCTTATTTCTAATTTTGCCCGTTTATCCTGATTGTTACCTTGTATTCTGCCTATGCAGCATTTGCTGGTGGTCTGTGGATGCCTGGCAGGTCATACCCTACTTACACTTCCCTAACAGTTGCTAAGTGACATTCAAAGACTCGGGCATCATTGCCCGTACTCTCTACCACCACTTCTCCGCGTTCATTATCACCCTGGCTGCAGCAGTGATTCTATTTTACTGCCAGCACCAAAGGACTGGGGGAACTGGCTTTCTGTACACGAGGTTTGAAAGACGCTTCCTTGCGGTCCACCCTACAGAAACGTTTGAGAGCCTTTAACCCCTGGCTTGTCACTGTTAGCATCCACGCCACTGACTCACAACCCTGTTTTGAGAAACCTCGGTATTCCTCCCAGTTTCTCAGCAGCCTTTTCCCCACCACCTCCAGCAGGCACTCCTACCCACGGCATTCAATCTTTCACCCACCTGCAGGCCAGCACACTGAAAACACCACCAAAAAACGCGGATCACAAACCAGCTAAACCAACGAGCCCACCAATTCATGCATGAAGTTGATATTCGCATTCATTGGGAAACAGGGACTCGGGGAAAGCTCTCCCCGCCCGGCGCGGCCAACAGGTCTACTCACGGCGACGCCCCGGCCTGCGCGGCCGCTGCGGCCTCAGGC